ATAATAATAATATACTTTATTGTCATTGTACATAGTACAACGAAATTAAGGTGCAATCATTCGGTGATCTACAAGCATACTCATATACACTCACACAACCATTAGGGTTCACATTGCAACTTAACCACCAATGTCACCCAAATTCCAATTCATACAGCATTTAAAGCAATAATAGCTTTAACTCCACCCATCGAAATGTTCCAGTGGATCTAAGCCAATATTATAGATTTCTATGCATATTCCTATGAAATATCTGGCTTTCGGCACCTGGTGTGCTGAACAATGACAAAGCATTCTCAGAATTTCATTAAATGTTCCATGTGGGAAGAAAACTTACTAAGGCAATAGTAATTGTTTATAATACAGCTGTTTATGAGCTGGACAAATTCATTAAAGTAAATCAGGTAATTACTGATTTTGGCAACATCATCAGTCTCAACCATAACACACGAGGTGGTAATCCATGGGCAGATACTGGGCTGCTCTTTTTCATGCAATAATTTTTCACACAACCATTATTGTTGGGCAGCATTACTACTCTGCATTAATCCCCCACATTATATAATAGCCCATGCACCAATTTTTTTAAAAAAATATTGTCTTAACATGACTACTAGATATCATGTGATTGTCGTGTAATAAAACCTCCTGGGTTGTCTATCACAATTTATCAGCAGAATGTGCTGACAGTTGCCAGTTTTCCCAGCATTCCCCCTCCTGCCCCCAGCAGGAATTTTCCCATGCGGGTCAGGAGGCTGCAGTGTGGAGGGGGGAATTGCTCCTTGTCTTTTTAGTGAGCAGGTTAGATCTGTTTTGAAGAGGGAACTGCGCTGCTCCGCTGACAGATGTAATGACAGGTTTTATGGATTTTCAGATATTTAAAACTTCCTTCTCAGCCCTGTACTGTGTAGCTTTTGACATACATTCATTTAACTATGGAAATATGGATAAATCCTGAATTTATATATAATGTGCACTTATTTTCAAGAAGTTCAGTCTTTTTATTAGCACCTGTCATTCATAATAGATCATGAAGATGCAGTTAATAATAGGTTTAAGATGTCAGCATAGCACATGTGCTTTGTAAAAAAAAATCTCACTGCTGACCTTAAAACTGGTGAGGCGGTGAAATGAAGATATGACAGTCGATACAGTTTTCATGGCCATGTGGGGGTTTCTTTGCTCTTATTTAAACAATGTGGGGAGAAGGTCAGGCACAAAAATCTCATAATACAGTTCTGAAGCTGCAGTCCTATGCCTTTCCCATGTGCTTGATCTAAGTAAACACCTTTTTGAACAGGATAGAATTAGAACTCTTTGAATGTCATTCATGCATTGTAAAATGTATGGAAATATTAACTTCTTTAGAATCTTATCCCCGCTATTAAAATTAACTAGAAGAAGCATATTTTACTGGATCTACCTCTCATACTTTTATTACTACATATCTGGGATTTGGCAAAAAGTCAAGATTTTTTGGAAGAATTTCAAAGGCTCATAGGGGGAAGTTGTCTTATCTATAAAGACCTACTTTCAGATGGTAAGCTGTTGAAATCTATCATTGAGTTAAATAGATCTGTAGAGGTCCATAGTCAGTGTTATGTGGTGGTTAGAGTACAGGAGGACTACAGTCTGGGAAACCTGGATTCAAATCTTCACTCCACCATGAAAGGTCTCTGGGGGGCCTTGGGTCAGTCACACATAGGGTTGCCAGTCCCCAGTTGGTAGTGGGGGATCCCCTGCTTTTGTGGGCTCCTCTCTGCCACTGGCCAGCTGGCTGGCAGGAGGAAATCCCCCCCCCCAAGTGCATGTGGAGCAATGTGCCTATGTTACCTGGAAGTGATGTAGGCACATTGGTGACGTCAGGCAGGATGATGCTTTGTTTTGGGAGGAAAACTCTATGGTTTGAAGTTGAAATTGAAGTTTGCCCAAAACCCAGAGCATTGCCTCCAACTTGCCTATGTCACCCGGAAGTGACCTAGGCAGACACATGATGTCACTTCTGGTCATGACAGGAGCAACACTTCCAGCCCCTGGAACATCTGCCCATCCCCCCGCCAGTGAATCAAAAGGACCTGGCAACCCTAAGCACATTCTCAGGCTAACTTACCTCATAGGGTTGTTGTGAGAATAAAATGGAGAAGAGAACTATGTTTACCTCAAGTAATTGAATAGCAAAGTTGCTATTGTGTGCTTGAAGTATTGTTTACCAATATGAACCTCTGGAGAACAGCCTCCTGGAAGGGTGAGGCAGGTGCCTGCCTTTGGAGTCTTGCAGTGAGGCTGTAAAACAGAGCTACTTAAGAAGGCCTAAGGGGCAGCTTCAACAAGATGGGGGTTCTGGGTTATCTGATTAATTATTCTTTTAATAGATGGTTATTTTTGTATCGTACTCATTTTTGTTACTTGATGGGTTGTATAAATAACCTAAATAAATAAATAAAATTGAATCCAGCAAGGTATTATGATTTTGGGGAACATTTTCCCCACATCTAACTTAGGACAAGGAGTGGGTTTGAAACATTCAAAGAGATGTACTAGTGTGTCATAGCTCAAGCCTTTTCTTTCCTATCCTACATTAATTTAATGAGTTGGCCCTTCATTCAACAAATGTCAGAGTATTGAAAGATTTATCTGTAAGTACTAGTAACAGCATACAAACACTGCTTGCCACCATGCTGTAGCACTTTGTGCAAGAAAATTTACCAACAGTTCGTTCTCATTTTGTCTAATTCTGCGTGCTATAGCTGACCCGAGAGTTCTTTACCAAGGAGCTAAAGAAGCACTATCAGGGGAACAATGAGTCGGATATCTTCTCTTCCACCTGGAACTCCGTCATGATCACAGTGAGTACCAGCATCTAAAACGCAGCTTACATACAACTTTTCTGTTCCTCCTGTCAGGAGACTCACCCTAGACGGATTGTGTTCACAGTCCCTGCATGTGAAAGGCTTTTCTCATATCTCTCTAGGTTGCATGTGACAATTGATTTCCAGGGCTTTCATTTTAGTTATATTATTAAGAACATGAGGGATGGCTTTAACGCATTCATATTTAGTACTTTGGGGATGAGATTTATTTTTAAATATTTTTGATCTCTAAATAGTTGTGGAATGGGTACGTAGAGCTGATCAGGCCAGCCTGGCTACAGGGAAAGCTACACAGACAAATTTTGATTTTCCTTTTCATTGAAGTTATTTATATTGAAACAGTCTTTAAAATAGATACTCACCTTCAGGGCTGTATATACTTTGCCAAGGCACCCAGAATTCATTATCAAGAAAGGCTGAATTAGGTTACATGTATAAATAATGCATATTAAATTAATTAGCATATATTTGCATATGTGTTCCTATTTTGCATAGTTATTGAAATGGCAGACCCAGAAATTATGCAGGACACTGAGCACTAGAGACTCTTCTGAGCCCTTTGAACATTTTGGTAGACATGACTGCCACATTTTCATGCTTATCTTTGCATCTGTACAGAAATGTGTTTTACTTTGGAGGTTTGGACTGTAGAAAACCTTCACCTTGAGTTTTAAAAAGGTTTTCTCCCTCATCAGAGAACAAGTGAGGGCAGTCAGTTGCTTGCCAGCCTAGCTCGGCATGTAAATGGCCAGATGCAGTCATGTAAATGTAAATGGCCAGATGCAGCTAAAAAGGTGACAGCTAGGAGGGAAGAAAGAGTTTGGAGGTTTTCCTGGGAATTTCAGGAAGGGCTTTTTTGGTGGGCAAAGAAGGAGCAATTGCCCCCACAGAAAGGGATTTGCCTCCTTGGCACATGGAGGAGAAACTCTTTTGTGCTGATTTCATTGAGGCCTAGGGCCTGCTGAAGGAGGACTGCAAGGCCTGAGCAGAGGCTCCAAGGTAATAGGAACCCTTTAAAGACACTGTAACTTTAAGTCTAAGGCACTTGCCCTAGGTTAACAATAACTAGGGCATGTACAGGGGGAGAGACAAATGAATTGTGTGTTTATACTTTTCTTTTGGATCCCTTGCTCAATCTGTTGCTGTGCTGAGAATATGGATGTGGGCATTTTCTTTTTAATATATGTTTTATAATTTTCCATGCTGGTGGCTGTTTTCTGTGTCACATAGACTTTCATTGTTTTGGATACACTGTTTTAAAATGAGCACCATGAGAAAGGGAGGGCAGTCAGTAGGCACATTGCTACTTCTCCAGTGGTGTACACTAAGCTGTCCCCATGGTAACCAGACACTGGGTAGCAGGAGACTCAGGCATGAGGTGAGGTCTTAGAATGGCAACTCAGGGAAGGAAAGCTGAGATCCCTTTTCTTCTCAGTGGGTAGTTCCTACAAAGGCTAGGTGGTGGCCGAAAGAGGGAGAGAAAAGCCCCTCCAAGGGTTGGGAAAGCCATGTGAGAGGCACATGCCAGGCAGAGACCTTGGATGGCCACTGGTGCCCAGATGCCTCGGAGGGTAAGACAGAACAGGGCCTGCAGGTCAGTGGGGCTGTCCTTCCACAGCACCCATAAGGGCTAGAAACATGCTTTCATTTTTTTTTAAATGAAAGCTGAGTTTCTCAGTGTGCAGAATTTTTCACTAATTACAAAACGGTGTCCTTTTTGTATGCTTGCAGAATGCACACACCCTGCTGTAGTCAAAAGACTTCCCTCATTGGTTCCTACACAGCCTTCCTGCCTCTCTTCCTTCTCAAATCACATGCCACTTTCAAGCACTCTCTAATGCTTCCCATCGGGCTGCAGAACAATGTTAACTATTTGATTTCCTTTCATGTGTAATAAGTTTGGCTGCTGTGGTGTCAATGGTCCAGAAGATTTTAAATCTGCTCCACGTTTTCAACTTCTGTATTCACACGATGCATTCCCTGAAGCTTGCTGCCGACGGGAGATCCAGTCCCGAGATGGAGTGTTTGTCAGCAAGGAAAATTGTCTCATGGGAAAGGAAATATACCAAAACCGGCAGGTAATGGGGACCCATCAATCTAAATGGGACTATTGTTTAGTTTATCTGAGGGGAAATATAGCATTTTCAGGTTTCTGTGTTGACGGTTCTTAACTGATAAAAATACTTCTCTATCACTGATGCAGAATCTCTCTCTCTCCCTCTCTCTCTGTATTACACTGCATTGGTCAAAAATGTTTTATCGTATTTTTCCTTCACCAGTCTTGTAAGGCGGTCCACTATTATCTCTATTTTGTTGATGTAAGAAGTAGTGACTTGCCCAAGGCCACATAATACATCCATGTCACATGATGGTGAGCACAAAGGCAGACTTTCAGGCTCAAGTCTGCCCACAGTGGCTCCCACAAGTGCAAACCATACATAAGTGCACCTTGAGCACCATGCAGAATAAATGTCCTTTTATCTATATACTAATAGCGAAGTTACCCCCGTGAGTGCGGATCGCTAAATCCGCGCTCTGGGGGCACTTGGGGGGGAGGGAAAGGTTTGTGCACACGTGGGGCGCTCCCCACGTGTGCACAAAAATCCAAAAAGTTGAAAAAAAATGTTGAAAAAAATTCAGGGGGATGTTTAAATCCCCCCGAAAGTGACAGAGCGTCCCCTGCGCATGCGCAGGGAACGCTCTGTAGCTGGCTTCACCGCCGCGCCGCCGCCACCTCGGAGCCGGGCGGGCAGGGGGGGAGGACCGACCTCGCCGCCGCCGAGCCCGGCAAAGGGGGGGAGGACCGGCCTCTCCGCCTCCGCCTCGAAGCCGGGCGGGGGGGGGGACCA